GATGAAAATTACACTTTTGAGACTACCAAAAATCAATAAAGAAAAATAATTCGATAGAACATTTACAGAGACAACAATTTTCATTCACGAAAACAAATGAGTATTTAAGTGTGTCTAAGAATCCTCAAGTCTTTACTAGTAAGCTTAAAGTTTATGTTTTAAGCCACGGTTTCCGGTGTTGGCTGTTTTCAAAGACGAACTCACGAAAAAGAAAATCGTTCAAAGCTTTCTTTCTACAGCCAAAATTATAACTAAATATTCTTCGGAAAGTTTTTTCTTTCTATTTAAGGTGAATTAATATCGACTAAAGGCTTTTTAAAGTTCTGTAAGCTTAAGCTTATATCAAACCTCATACGAGGTCAGATCAGTGTCTCAGTCAAATCTTAATACAAACGTGCATAAACTAGCTTCATAAACTGCGCTGCTGGACTTCATGAAATTATATTTAAATACAATAATTACTCGGGCTTACCATATTTCGAGATGCAGCTCCTGAAAGCTATCAAGTAAGGCAAGGATCGCTTGAGCCTTTCTAATTCTTGTACGCATCCAGCAAGGTGAAAAACAAAAACGATGCCATCCGAAATCGGATTATCGGCTTTGACAAGCGACGCATTTTTCAACCAAAAACCCAATAAACAAACCAGCCATGAATAAGAGAACACTCTTGATAGCAGCTGTATTTCATTTTGTACATCCAGTGGAAAAAGACAGTTAAAAACATCACAAGTTGACTCAAAAACTCTGTCAGCTTCAGCTGTCAAAGTAAACAACTTTCAAGATGCTGCATAAGTTTTACGCATGAACTCACCTGTCAAATTTAAACCAATCAGAGCATAAAAATTGGACGTGGAGCGTGACCAACACGTGCCCATGGTAAGAAAAGGTCTTCCTCGCCTGTATTTTAAAAACACTGGCTGAATTTTTGTGTCTGAAGTCAGTTTGAAATCAAAATCGTAATAGCGCGGGGCGATACTGACATAAACACAACATATTTGATATGAATTTAAAACAAAAGTAAACGTGAGCCTGCGATCATTTAAAAACGAGTAAATTGTCAGCGGATAACTTCAAAAAATACTCGACCTCCATGGGTCGACACCTGAGCCCGCGATTCGGTCAGGTGATAGTGGTCAGCGGATACCCTGTTTTGACAGCTGTCAATTGATGACAACATTGATGTGCAATCAGCTTTCTCCTGGGCTCCCAAAGTAGCTAGAAAGTGTGAGAGTAAACATTGGTATGCCTGTGGTGCGGACGGACGGTCGGTCGGTCATGTGATTACCAAATTTTCTGGGATGGGTAGATTTCCTTAGCAATGGGGCTCCGTCCACGCGCGCGCGTGGAGCTCCGCTATTAACTTTCTTGTCGATTTTTCCAGGGTTTTCATTCATGCTCTTGTTGGCTTTGATTTATTTCGCACGTTGTTTTGGTGAAGCAAATCAGGATTCCAGGTAATAGGATGTTATTTATTTTGCTCCAGGATACAACTCAATAGTGACCAGAAGGAAATCGTAGATTTTGCCACCACAGGCCACAATTTATTTATTACTGGACAAGGCGGAGTAGGGAAAAGTGAATGTAGGGAAAATGTGCATCGCGTATACACAATCATAATACAAGATTTGTCAGTAATCTGAACTATTTTAGGCCAAGAGTATCCACCAACTTAGGTAAGACGTCCGTTAAATTCTCCGCTCCAAACATCTGGGAGACTGTACCGCCTGGTCTCAAGTGTCTGCCAGATCATAAGTTTAAAAAAGAATGGAAGTCCTGTCTTCTAACCAACCAAATCTGACCTTAGTATATGTTCTATCACTGATATTATTTGAGATTTTATTCCACTCTTTACCGCTGCCAATTATTTCAATATGACGGTGTCCAACAAGAAAGCTCTTGCTACTTTGGACACCGTACACAAATGAACTTAATATCTTTTAGTTAATTATTATTTGTAGCTACTTTATTTTCCTACTATGTACACTTTTGTAAATATCTTGTATAGTGTGAATAAAGAATTGAATTGAATTGAATTGAATTGTAAAACAGATCATTCGTTTTAAGGCAAGTGGAAAAATTGTAGGAGTGATATGTTCGAGTGGGGTCGCCTGCAAAGTTTTCGATCGCGGCACAGCATCGACTGTTCACTCCTTTTACGGTCTCTCGACTGCGGAGTTGCCCTGGCGTCAACTCGTAGACAGATCGCTTGGAAATTCATTAATTCGAGAGAGGGTAAAAGCTTTTGACGTGATTATTTGGGATGAAGCCAGTATGTCGAGTAGAAGAATGTTTGAACTTATGAACTTTCTTCATCATGAGCTACAACCCCGGACAAAACCTGTTGAGACAAATCGCGAAAATGCCTATTTTTTCCTGTCATCCCGGCAAAAACTGAAACCGCCGCCAAATGAATGCCCGATTTCCCCCTCCCCTTATCCAAAGTTGTTTAGAATAGCATGGCAATTATACACGTTGGTTTTTAGACCAAGGCAACTTTGAATAGGGGGTGGGGAGGGGGTTTACTTTTTGTATTTAGGGGAGACGGGAGTAGGGCGCAAAAGTTAGAAAATAGATGGAATTGTCTCAACAGTTTTGTCCGGGGTTGTCTGTGAAGGCCAGTTGTTCAAATCGCTGTAACTTCGCGATGTAAGGTCGGAGGGTATTGATTTTTTGCACAGATGTTGTACTTGTCTAAAGCTTTGTGACTACGAAAGAAGGTGTCATAAAAACAATTAGGACGCATTAATTATGCACTTAGAAATTTAGCCATAAATTAGAAACCTTATACCTAAATGAGAAAGAAATCATGCTCTTTACAGAAAAAGTATTGAAATTAATTGTGGTTGGTGGCCGCGGTTAAGGAGTTACTGTGTGTCACAAATATGATATCTTAATAGGAGCCTTACCTCCGGCCTTTTTACCAACATTAATTGTGCTTACATGTCGAATAAATTAGATAAGACTGGGTATTTATTATATTCGCGCAGTACAACTGTCCTGTTCAAAAATAATAGTGCGTGGTGTGCAGGTCATGCACGAGGACTCAAGAATGCGGCGGAGCAGTTAAAAATAACCCTTAGAGGTAGTGATACTTAGTTGCAGTGACAACTTTCTCCATGTAGTTAAAGTAGAACTGGAAAAGTAAGCTTCACCGAGTTAACAATACCCGCGTTTACTGAGTGTGTAATTAGAACAATTTACAACATATATACCGGATTATCTACTTGACAAAATAATGGAATCCATGCCGATAAAACCGTTAATTCTTCTATGACAACCAAGGCCAAAAGAACAAATATTAATGAAGAACTTCCAAAATGGGTAGAAATAGGATGTGTAGGGAAAGCAATGCCTCTTTGATCACAAATACAGCGAAAACATATTGTCACACGATGGCAGTTCTTTTGTGGCAAAAAACAGCGCACTTCATGACAATTACACCCGTGTCAAAAAGTTTTCCCTTAAGTAAAAAGGTCTTTTTAATGCTTGAAAATCAACAAAAAGGTTCTATATACTACGGAAAATGCTTGAGGGCACCGTAAACGCTTGAAATAAACGATTAACAGGCACGCACATGTTTATTCCAACGGTTAACAGCGGTTAACAGAATATATGAAAGGAAACTGATAGTCTAACTGTTGTTTTTCTTCAGAAAAGTTGTTAACCGTTGTTAACCGTCGTTAACCGATGTTTCTTTCCTCTGCGGTACTTTATTCGTTAAGTTAACCGTCTGCGAGAAAAACTACTCCGTTTTTGTTGCATAGCAAGCTCATCGAAGCACCTTACACATCAAGGGATTTCCCGTTATTGTTCCCGCGGGATCTGCATGGAGAAATGAGAGATCCATCATACCACATTCCTGTTCGTACACAATTCCACATTTGCTGTAACTGAGGCAATGTTGTCCTATTAAGTGTAGGATCTTTGCACTACACTTGGCGAACGACGTAATCACTGCTAAGGCAAATTACTTGCGGGATGGAAAAATGAGCCAAATTCGCGTGACTGTAAGTGACCAAGATAAGCGCACTAACCTTCCTCTCACCTAGTGATTCATGCGATATTTCCGAGCCTCCTGAAAATGACTCGTCACTATCGGAAGTTCTCGAGAGATCCATTTTGTCTGGCGATTACATATCAATGTCATCATTTGAGCAGGCAAAGCGTCTACGGACACTTAAGCCGTTGAAAGTCATGCCTATGGTAACGTCACAGAGTAAATGTCATTTGACAGATCATGTAATCAGAGTGTTATAACTTCAATTTTTACTGTAAAAATTTTATTTCGCATTCAAAAGAAAAAAAAAGTATGCTGAAACAATGGCTTTTATCAATTTGACCAAAAGAGAGGACTATAACTTGAGGTAATTGCTATGAAAGTTAAAGAATACCGAAAACAGTACGCAGACAACCCCGGACAAAACCTGTTGAGACAAATCGCGAAAATGCCTATTTTTTCCTGTCATCCCGGCAAAAACTGAAACCGCCGCCAAATGAATGCCCGATTTCCCCCCTCCCCTTATCCAAAGTTGTTTAGGATAGCATGGCAATTATACACGTTGGTTTTTAGGCCAAGGCAACTTTGAATAGGGGGTGGGGAGGGGGTTTACTTTTTGTATTTAGGGGAGACGGGAGTAGGGCGCAAAAGTTAGAAAATAGATGGAATTGTCTCAACAGTTTTGTCCGGGGTTGTAGCAACTGATGAATAAAGCAAGAGCCTGCCTTTTGCCGGCAAACAAATAATTCTAGTTGGTGAATTCTTACAGTTGCAACCAGTTCCAAGCCTTTTCGATGAAGGGGACTTCATGTTCTATTCTCCATTACTCGACTTCGGTACTCCCCATCGTTTAGCCTTAACCAGGCTGATGCGCCAATTGGAAGACGACAAACTATTTTTGTCCACTATTGCGGACATAAGAAAGGGTCAGTGCTCAATTTCATCTTAACAATATCTCTCGTCCTTGGATAAAGTTTTACCAGACGCCTTACAACAAGTTGCAATGCATATCTTTTTTCGAAAAGTGCCTGTACAGTTGTCAAATAGACGAGAGCTCGATGCATTACCTGGTGAGTTGTTAGCCTTCGAGGCATCATTCGAAAACGATTGTTCTAAGAGCATGTGCTGGCCTAGAGCAACAGTCCTGCACCTAACGCATGGCTGTAAAGTAATGCTTGAGTGGAACAAGTCTCACGATTTAAAAAACGGATCCCTTGGTATATTTACTGGGGAAAAAGGCGATGTCCTTTTGGTTGCTTTTGATGGTGGCGGCATTGTAGAGATTTCCAGGGAAACTTGGATAAAGAGGAATAGGAATGGGAACAAAATCGAAGTGTTACCCAATTTCCAGTTGTTTTGGCCTATGCAATCACGTGCCATAAATCGCAAGGTTTGACAATTGCGGTGGCAGTGGTGCATTGTTCGCGAGAATACGTACCTGGCCTCATTTATATCGCAGTGTCAAGAGTCAAGTCCCCTCAATGTATCCAGATTTTGAATTTTAATTCACTGCAATTGTTGAAGCCACAGCAAAATGCAGTCGAAATGTGCTCCACCCACCATACATGTGCCCCCATTGCAGATTGGTCGTGTTGCTGCAAAAAGAGCTTCAGCCACGATAACCTGTTATGAGTCACAGATCACTGTAATGAATGCGCAGAAGAAAGATGGGTAGTCTTTCACATTTCCTAGCGAGTTGCTGGATGGCCCGGTTCGAGCTTGTTTTGAAGATGAAGATGTTGATGTTCAACTGGAGTTGTTGGATATTTACGACCGATTCACGAGGCATGAATCAAGTCCCTCAAGTCCCTCAGATGAATGTTTTAACAAATGCCGAGAACACTTGTTGGCGATGAAGACCTCTCCATGTTCAGTTGTCTCTTCCTTTATGGCAGGAAAAAATGCAGCAATTGATTTTCTGTTAACTGACACCTGTTGGACCAAAGTACCACCCTCCATAGAAATTGTATGGTCTCATTCATTTCTAATAATCGAAAACCACATCGTAAGACATCCGGAGGAGATTGTCATTAACATTTCAAGGCAAGGATTTACTGAGGCAACTTCGAGACCACATGAATTCTTTACCAGCACTGAATTTTCACAGTATGTTCGTATTGTCTTTGGTGTAAGAGAGGTAACACATCCTCAGTGGTCTGTGGCTATTGAGGTAGCAAAATTTATCTGCTGGGAATTTCTTGAAGCTTTAGTGTCGGTGGTGAGACAAGATAGAATGGATGCGGTCGATTTTAATGTTGAAGAGATGGATGTGGTGGGGAGATTGAAGGTTCCACATGTAGGTGGTTGGGTGGTTAGAAAAATCCTCACTCGGGCTAGAAACTACACTCGAAAAAATGTGTACACAAATTATAGTTCTACTCTAGCCAAAGTTGAAACAAAACAAAGGGTCTGTGAACTGCTGGAGGAAAACGTTATTTAATCATTCGATCAGCTCCAAGAAACGTCTGTACTTCAAAAGACACTTTGAGTAACAGAGGCAAGGCAGTATAGCCAAAGAGGTCTACTCCACATCTCAGATAATGGTTTCCTCTTCTTTATGAAGCTTGAACAAAGAAGAGTACAGCAGCTGAACGTTCGCATTCTGAAAAAAGAACGCGACAATATGGTAGAAGCAGCGATACGCACCCTGTTAATGGATGAAGATTTGCAAGAAAGTTGGTTGCGATGTTTTTCAAAAGACGATGTAGAAAAGAGCAAGGTATTTGTATAATTCAAAGATTTGACTTCCTATTAATGTTCCTTTTTCTGACATAAGAAATCCCTCAGGCTCACTTACCAATCACATTTTCTAATGAGAGCCCCAGAACTACTTTTCGGTCCCGAGGACACACTTCCAAGAGGAAAAAGGACTGGAAACTAAATCTTTACACAATAATGCAATGGTGCTTCATTTCATTCGTGGAATCTTTTTAGTTACCGCATAAGAAAATCGTGAGCAACATTTTTTTGATCAAAAGAATTGTTCTTAAGCATTGCAAATATGTGCGACTGCTGGTAATATAGATTTTATAGATTTACCTTTTTTGCACAATTTGTCTATGGTATCTCCTTTTTTCACACAGGATTTGATCCGAAAGCTGTTGAAGGACATCCTAATCTATTATGTCAACATGGGTGCCTCTCAATTCTTGAGGGATTACTGTAGAAGTTCCCTAATCAAAAAGAGCGTGGAACTACGAAAGCGAATTTTACAGAGACAAGAAAAGACCAAAGAGAAAGCAGTGTTCCTTTCAAGGTGTTAAATTGTTGTGTGTATGGAGGGAGAGGGGGTCTCCGCTGAGAGGTCCAATCCCCTACCCTTGATACAATCTTCACAGGAAAGATATCCCCTTTACGTACCTAATGCCTCCCTTTCTATACGACTTTGTAATGGACAAGTATCTTCTTGGGGTTCATTTACAGGAACATGATTGAACATCAAAATGTCTTTTTTAATATGCCCACTGCAATATGGCAATTAAAAATACAGTAAAATATATTTTATGCACAAAAACGTTGTACATTCTTCAAATCTTTAAGGCAGTTATCAGTTATTTATTACAATTAGCTAGGAAATGAAATCACTCTACAATAACTAGTCTTTAGGACCTCACAAGGACAGAGAAGTGAAATGCATGGATCCAAATATACGCAATGCTAAATAGGATAGCAATAGCTAGGGCCAAAATTGATAATGCAGTTTTTAAATTTATTTTTAAAAAATATTTTTGTTCTTGTCAGGATATCCTCAAAGACAGGAGTGACAACAAAAAGCATTCTCACAGCCGTCTGGTTGCCTTCATACACTAGCATGAAGGGACTTCTCCACTGACTAGAGTGTACTTTAAGTCCCAATTGATTTCTTTGTGTCAGGCTTACGGTGTGAAATCAAAGTCTTCCAAGTTAGTCCTTGCTCAAGATCTTTTGAATGCTATTCCCAACACAACACCAGAAGATGGAAGCATATCGGACACCTCACAAAACCCACTGGATGACAGACAATTCAGAGTAGTTGAAAACTTGGAGTCTGATGGGCACATCAGGTTACGGCTAAGAAGAGGTATTTGGTGCATGTAATATTGTAATCTGAACATCAGTTCAATCAGTCAGTTGATTTTTTGAAAACTGATGTTTTGATTGATATTTCAGTTACTGGTAGCTGAAACCAATCAGGCATAAGTACCTTCCTCTTGGTCATATAGAAATCTGTATGACCATTCCTTAAGTATGTACATATTTACAGAAGTATAAAAAGCGCAGTTTTACAGTATGACTTCTTGAACCTTATTAATAATGCAGGCCACTTGTAATCTAAAAGTAAACAACTACATTAATGTTTGTGAAGAACCTGCAAAATACAACAAACTTTTCTTTGGAATTTTAAACATTATTATATAGTCTGTTTACAAAAGACTTAAAGTTTTCCAGTTCACATAGTTTACACTGTCAACATATACCCATTTAATTGCTCTACTTTAAAATTAACATAAGCTAGCCCTTGCATTTCTAACTTTTGTTAATTCTTACATAGTAAACTTTGATTTTTACTCGGAATTGATGGTCGCTGGCCTGTAGAGGAGCTATCACAAGAGGCATTACTTTTAGGACTGATTGATAGTGGTCTGTCCTACTTTAATTGAATTTTGTGAAGACTGTTGCTGCAAAAAAGTTGGATTGTCATTTTGACCATTACAAGAACGAAATTGACAAAAATGATTCTCTGCACAGTCTTGATTCACTATGGCAGGCTTTATAACTGAACTTGGATGCTTGACCAATTTGTAGTGGACTAAAGACTGAAATCCAAGGCACATTGATTTCAAATCAAACCACAATTTACTTGAGATAAATTTCTTGTTGTCTCCTAGGATGTCTTGTTCGCAACAACACATCCAGTTGTAGAAATTATTTAACCTGCGCAGCCTTGCATCATTGGTGCTGGTGATTTAGAGCCTGTCATTGAACAGATTAACCAGGTCACTCAAGTGTTCCAAAAGGGTCACTACTGCTTCAAGTGAGGAATCATCATCTCCCCTGGATTTTAGACTTTCTTGGTATTTCTATATAGGTGCAACAAAGGTAATCTGATCAATGTGACTATATTTTTAAAATGATATGGTAATTTAAAAAAAATAACAAACAAAATACCTATCACTGGTAGGAAGACAAAAATAACGATATTTGAAATGAAAGCTATCATTGAAATAATTATTAATAAGATACTACGTTTCAAAAGATTCACAAGAGCCATAGACAAAAAAACATTCTTTTTCGGTGGTTTGTTTATACTTCTGTGGTAATGAAAATTAACTTTCAAATTTAATATAATGGTTATAATTACTGCAACAACATACAATCACCACTACAACGGTGAGATAAAAATATAAAAAGATTCCATGCACCTCTTTTTTTGTCTCCTCACTGGTGGCCTTTCCCTTTAGTTTTAAAATAAAATTCTCATGTTGCAGCTGTAGAAGGTGTATTTTCTGGAGAAATTATAAATAGTAGGACCACCCACTTAACCTTTAATTTTGCTGGTTATTGGAATTTTTATGGCCCAGTTTCATAAGATCCCTCTCGTATGGGCACATTTTAAAAAGATTTCTTCAGAAAAGTTAGTTATACAGGCATGACCTTTTGTCACAAAGAGGGATTAGCTCAAAAATAGTAGATAGTGTCGCTGAATGTTTGTAAATTCAATTAAACACAAATGTTAACTACCAGCATAAGAAATAGCATCTCGGTGTCGAGAACATCTTCTGCAAGTTTGTTCCTCATCTTGCTTGCAGAATCAAAATCAAAATGCTGCAAGGTTAACTTTTCATGAAGAGGTAGAGAAAAGCTTTTTTGATCCCAGTTGGAGGCACTCTTAAACTGGTCCCAGGTTATTTGTTTTCCATTGATTGTGAGACACCTTGGTTTGCCACTGATGTTACTCTTCTCGATATTGTTACGTATTTTTTTGATATTGTGCTATAATGAATTTTTAAGAGAGAATTAAAAACAATAAAAAAAATTATCTGAAACAGTACATGTAATTAAATTTTTTTATATTTCACAGATCAGTATTAAGTTAAGGACAGACCACCTTCAGATGTCAGCGACCATTAATCCCAAACACAGTTCAAATTATTAAAAGCTCCAAGCTAATAATATTATAATATTAACAAACAATGTTATTATGAATATTTAGTATTATATGTACCTCAGTTCTGTAATAATTATATAGTCAATGTCCCATGTGACAGAATATATTTTGACTTTACCTTTGGGTCCATGATAAATATCATTGGACCTCCAGTGTAGATGTTTGTGGCTACAAACTTGCTGTCAACAGGATCTTTGTTGTGAAAGTGCATCTTAATGAACAGCCTATTACAGTCAGCACCATCAAGGACACACCAGTACACCCTAAGGAGAAATAAACATCATATGTGCAAACTGTATACGCTGATACAGTAGAACCTCTCATCTGAGACACCTCTATAATATGGGTACTGCACCTCATTAAAGGGACACATTTCCTCACAATGTTTTGAGTATTTATGAACTACTGAGGGTTTGAAACTCTTATTTTTTAATGTGACAGTTACAGGATGACCGAGTGAAAAGTCACTTATCCAAGGTTTTAATTGAATCATGTGGTTGTATAGGAGGGTTTTACTGTAAACCTCCAAAAAACATCATGAACAACAAAAATATTCAATGTTATCGTGTTGTGAGGAAAAAGCCAATAAGAGATGTGAGAAAACTAAATTGGAAACAGCAGTAATAATTTGTGGTTTGGAGGTTTGCTGAACTTTATTGTCATTGGTCACTACATAATCAACTTTCCTATAATTTTTCAGGTGTTCAC